TGTGATCATATATAGGTACACATTTAACATATACAAATAGAAGCGTAAGCAGGCACAAACATGAACTGGAGAATGAAACGAAAACAAAAATTAAATTAAGCAAAAGGATTAAAAAGAAATACAAACTAAATAAAAACAATAAAGACAATGCTAACAACTAGATAATGCAAGAGATATTTCTATAACATTAAGTAGTTGTTAGCACAATGTTAATACCAAGAACCGTTTTTTGTACCACATTATACACGAATAACAATAAGAACTACATATATACGAGTACGTTAAGCAACAGTTTGAGCACCGCATCCAACACTAACAGTAAAAAATGGTCTTGATAAAAGCCGCCTCACTGTGCCCAGCTCAGTACAGAAAAAGTCATACTGTAGAGAGCTATGAAGTTCATTGAAGGTATGAGCACTTCGCAGAAGGAAGGAATCACTCCTATAATTAGTGGTCACGAAGGGCACATGGATAATCGTTGTCTTAGACCAATTAGGTTATTACGCAAACTTAATTGAGATAGGAGCTCAGTGGAGTCAATTGTACCATTTGCGATGCTAGTCAAATAGCAAAAATTTCTTATAAGACGCCTATATTCTATAAGGAAGTGATATCGTCTACAACAATGAATGTAGTCATGTGAGAATGACTACATTCATACACATGTCCAAATATCGCAAACATTTCTTCTGGATACCCTCAATACGAGACTTATAGACTTCGTATCGTGGCTTCCAGACTTGCGATGCATATTCCAAAAGGCCGCGTACAAAGAAACAGTACAAAACTTTTATGGGCTTAATAATACGGAAACAGGTGGCTGTTCTCATAAGGAAGCCTAGGGCTTTTGACGTCAAATAAAAAAGTATATGAACTAAGAATGTTTCTGAATAAAAATACATCTCGTATTGTGTACGTAGGGGAAGGTTGCGATGATTGGACATCATAACATATCTAATTAAAGAAAAGTGATAGAACAAAAGTTGTGATTAATATTTAATCCTTTCTTATCATAAATATGCCGATGGGGCAGCAAGGTTTTCCAATGGAGACCACGTACTGGAAAGCGCAGTGTGGGACGACCGCTTACCCGATGGACGGACGACCTGGTAAAGGTTGCCGGAAACAGTTGGATGCAGGCCGCAATCAACCGTCCCCGCTGGAAATCATTCGGAGAGGCCTATGTCCAGCAGTGGACAAGCATAGTCTGAGGTATATATCATAAATACGACGCTATATTTATTAAAATTGATCAGTTTTAGCAATATATACATAAAACTATTTTTAGATCTGTTGCTTTCTTTGGACCACCGTTGCATTCAACGGAAGCCCCGTTGCCATGAATGGACTTAGAAACGTTTGTACTAAAGTTCCAATCATAATAATTTCATTAAAACACATAAGTTCAGGTAATGTATGTTATCATTATTGGCTTTAGTGCCCACTACTGCTTTGAGCATTTATGTTTTTTTCTAGGGGTTAGTTAATGCTCCTAAAGTTCGTAAAATGGAAGTACTCCAACTTATTATGTTAAAGAACTCTGGTTGTACTATGTAAATTATAGTGTACTATGGCCAACTATGACTAGTAAAAAAGTTATTACAGTACCACCTTTACAATCTCTTAGGAAAGATAACATAAGTTACTCTTTCACTCGAGACCGGAGGAAAGTGTACGACACATAGTTTTGTTTTAGATGGCGCTTATAAAACTTCATTTTGTTCTATACTGTGATTGTATATAGACAATACTCGCTACAGCAGAATAATTTAAATATAATGATCAATCATAAAAGATGCATAGTCAAAAGAATTTTCATTTTATTATTAAATATAAAATTTATGCTAGTGTCATCTACACACAAATATAGAAAGCATCTCACAGTGTTCTTTTTAGGAAACCATCTTTTGTACAATGTGGTTTAATGTAGTTCAACTTTTTGTCTTTAGATGGCACTGATATAAATTATCAAATTTTGGAAGGAGAGTACCAAGAGTCTAAATAATACTATTTTGATCAATGTGTGGAAAAATTGATTAATTAATTGATTAATTTTTCAACAGGTAACTAAAAGCGTGCTCATGGCGGTCTCGTTGGACATCTCCAGCGCATTTAATAGTCTGCCTTAACTGCATCAAGAATGCACTCTACAACCACAGGCTGCCAGAGTACCTGAGGCGGCTAGTGGCAGAGTTTTAGTCATGTATGACCGAAATGGTGTTTTGTGTCGTTGGCCGGCGTCGTTGGCTGGTGTCGTGCGGTGTTCCACAGGAGTCGGTTCTCCACCCTCTGTGTTCCACCAATATTGTATTGGTATTAGTATTGTTTGTGGGCTCTACGCGTGGAGGACAGGTTTCCTAGGTAAGCCAACCAAGCTCCTTCCAGAAGCGCAGAAGCCTCCTGGGGCATTCACGGGCATTCACAGCAACGATTTTGTATAATGCTCCACCGATAACATTATAGTCATAGCCCGGGGGGCGAACTTTAAATAGACAGCGCGCCTGGACATTAGCCCTTATAATAAGACGAAGGCCCTCTTGTTCCACGGGCCTCAGCGCCAGCGCCTCCATCGTATTCGATTCGGTCCTCCTAACAGTTCAAGTCCAGATGAAGCATCTTGGCATAGTAAAATTAAAGTTACAAAAAATGTACAAATCTAATGCGTCTCCTGAACTCCTCTCCGTCTGAGCGTTTTGGTCAAATTTCTAAAAAAAAAACCGGTCATGTACGAGTCGAACTCGTACGCCGAGGATTCCGTACCTACTCAGATTTTACGTAGATTTTCAGAATTGTCACTTTTGGCTAAAAGTAAGGTCTTACAACACAAGTAAAGATAAAATTCTGAAAACTAAAAAAGTAAAAAAGTTATCATGTTGACTCAGGACCTTGATTTTTATACACCTAATAGGGACCATAGACCTCAGTATCTGGTATAAATTTCAACTTGTCTACCTGTTTCTGAGAAAATGGGTGGTGACAGACGGATAAGAAAGTGATCTTAAAAGGGTTCCTTTTTTACCTTTTGAGGTACGGAACCCTAAACAAACAATCCAGTTAGAATCAGAATCGAGAGGTGAACGTGGATGAGGTTCTACTAGTTATAAATGCGCAGGGGCGGCTGTTCTACGGATCCATTTCAAGAACACCGCCGACTGGACTAGATACCACTCCGGTCGAGCCAGCCCAGAATACCTATAGAATTTAGAATACAGTACAGTATATACAATTCTTGTATCATCATCATCATCATCATCATCAGCCTATCGCAGTCCACTGCTGGACATAGGCCTCTCCCATTGCATTGCATTGACTGTAGGTATTCTAAATTTCACGTCAATATGTTCGCTTCATTATCTAAACTGTGTACAAAGAATGTTTATTTAATGTTATTATATATGGTGTGTATATATTTGTATGAAAATATATGTATATAGTGTTTCTGTAGTGTATATTTTAGTTGATTAATAATATAACCTTTATGCGCCTACCACTCACGATTTCTACACAACCAAGGTTGAGTGGAAGAAAATACCCTGAGCATAAAGTCCGCCGATGCATAGAGTTGTGCATAAAGTTGTGTAAATGAATAAAAAAACGAACACACATTAATATATAGATAAAACAAAAGACAAAATTGTATCGTCAGTGTCTTAAGTGACTTTTATCATGTTATTGAACTGTTTACCGAGGTACATACACACTATTTGCTCTGTCTACGTTTATACATAGTATTTGATTAAGATTGTTTTGGTGAGATAACTAACAGGTAACTGAACATTTATTTATGCGTAAACTCGGTATACTTAATTTGCACGGAACATTATTCTTTCTGATGTCAGAAAGCTTAAATAATTGAATGATAATCACGACGACAACGAGCATAAAAATGGAGACAACGCATTTATACAAGTATCTCTTGTGTTGATGATCGACAGACACAGATGGTGCAGGTGGCCCTTATCTGCTCATTTGAGCTCTAATACTGTTAAAGAAAAAGATAGAAAATTGACTTCTTTAAGAATGAGTATTTGTGTCTTTTCTTTTCTTTTTCTTTTAATAAAAGACAACTCCCGCACTAGCAATAAATCCTTTGCCGGGCCTTTACAAACATACATGAAACGGACACAGAGGACACCCAGACTAAGAACAACAATTTGCAGATGACACAAAGTTGGACGACATGTGGGGATTGGACCCCTAACACGGATAGTTCGAAATAAATATTAAACAGTTTAATAATTTAAATAAAGTTGTTAGCAAGAGTAATTTTTAGACAGCTGTTATGAAATATAGAGAAATTAAAAGCAGCTCAATTTTTTCTATTTCTTTTTTCCTTACTATACCCTTTTAATAAATAATAATATTTTAAGACCAGTCACGCTCGGCCGTCTAATTCCACATTAGGCAGAGCCTGTGTTACGGTAAGTATGTCCCTTAGTGGTGTAAATAGGACTTATTCAAGCCACACTCTCGACAATGTTATAATAGTGTTTTGCAGTTTCAAAAAAGTTATACATATCAAATTAGATGTAAATCGGTAACATCGTGATAAACACATATGAAGGTTTACCTCAGAAAGATCCAAGTCAGCAATTCTGTATACCTAGATGATTGTTTGGATGAGGCTGTTTCTGTACATAGCGACAAAATCCCACCATGAAAAGAGAAATGCATCAATGTGTTCATACTGGTTGTGATTTTACCTCTTAATGATCATGATGACTAGTTGAGAACACCAAGAGAATATGAGCAAATAAATGAACTCACACAAAATTATCTTAAAATATCACAATACTAAGGCAGTATATTTCACTTGTGATACAACCAATAGTACCTACTAACAGCGCTGGTGTTTACTGAAAGATTGAAGTTAAATCCACTTTTATCTCTTTAATATATGCTGTTAGAAGACTATAAACTGCTGATAGCAACATTTTGTTTGTACCAAGACGTGGTTATCAGAACACGTGTTTACGCGATTGTAAAATATAGCAGACAATATGGTGAAAAAGGCCAGTAACGAAGTTCCTGTATCACCAATATATTTTAATGTGGCCGAATATTGTTTGTTCGGCATTATTTTAGGTGTGATTATAGGTATTATTGTGTATTACAATGTGATCAATAAGAAATATAAAACGGTGGCCGGGTTTTTGTTTGGCGGGAAAAATATGTCAGTTATATCTATCTGTCTTGCCCTCACCTCGAGGTAAGTTCTTTTTTCGTCCTTCTGTGTTTTAATCCGGTCCCTCTTCCGAGCGTTCTTATCGCTGTAAAGTTACTGCTCTCCTTTTGCTAGTATACAAATAAATTTCAAAATTAATAAGAAGTCTATCCTGTAAAGTTTTTTTTTGATTCAATACAGTTTTTTTGTACCTGTTTCTGGTTTTTTGTCGGTTACTCAGAAATCAGAGAATAAGTTTATTCATCCATTTCTTGGGTCATGATGATGTCCTTTAGGAACTACTCGGCTTAATTACACAATTCACACATATTACACGCGGCATCTGGTCCTAAACTAGGCAGAGACTGTATTATGGTAACCAGACTGCTGATAAATACACTTAATATATTTTTAAATACATACAAATTAAGTATACACATCAGAAACTGTACAGGTGATCGTGCTTATCACACAATTACTTGTCCTGGGTAGGAATCGAACCCATTAAGAAATAATCAACACTTTACCTAAATAATATAAATTAATTTAACTGTTACGAATTATTATAAGTAAATATATAGAAAAAGATCCGTCATCAACAGGTAACTAATCTCGTAACAGGTATTTTAATGCCAAATACAATAATGCTCGAGTCCATTTCATGGAAGGAAGGGCCTTTCTAATAAATAATCGAAACTATTATGATACATGGATTAGACATTCAATACATAATTATCGACCAACGTTAATACGCAAGTACGTAGCAACGTACCTATATTTGCTGTCAGGATAAGTGCATTTAAAAAGGCAGATATTAGTACAACTACAGGCAAGAAAATAGTGGCAACATCTAGTTAGTATAGGTAATTAATTAATAATGCTACAATAACTGATGGTAGCTAGGAGCTACCGGTAAAATATCTTTGTTTGTTTAAGTATAAACACTTGCGAAATGAGTTCACCCACTGTGACGAATTAACGAGATACACAACTAAAAGAGATAGAAATTACATAACCGTTATAAGCAGCCTTAATTTTTAGAGCCTTAAATGGATGATATTTATTATAATTTTTAGCCATTTGACGAGTATAACACTGCTAGGAGTACCGGTGGAAATATATCTTAGAGGAACACAATACTGGGCATCAGCATTATCGCTTGTGATTGTCACCTTTCTAACGGCAGTTATCTATTTACCCGGTGAGTATTTACATTTGTCTTTATCGCAGTTTATGTTTGACGAGCTTAAGTTATTACAATTGATTTTCAACACTCATTTTTTAATTGTTTATTTATGGTGAAAAGAGTTTATTAACACCATCACATAACCATCAATAACCTTTTACAGGACATATGATTCTCCTTAGAAAGGATGTTTTAGCCTACTATCTATACCATGCTGGCTAGACGGGTTGGTATAGGGTTTGTATCAAGTTTTCCTTCTGTATGCAGTGCTGTTATCCTGCGTAGTTTGCTCCCTTAGTCGGCTATTACGACACTCACGGGATGAATAGGGGTCCGTATTCGTGATTGTTCACCACACGGAGTTTATTCAAACACTATAAAAATGATCGTTATTTCTGTTTCCAGTGTTTCACAAGCTGCAATTATCATCAAGTTTCGAATATTTAGAAATTAGATTCTCAACACATACAAGGACGATAGCTGCTGTTTTATTTGTTCTCAGCAAGCTTATGTTACTGCCTATAGTTCCTTATGTGCCTCTCATGGCATTTAGATTGGGTAAGTATTATTAGTTATGTAGTTAACTGAATAACAAACGTAAAATAATAATTAAACAGTCTGTGTTGTTGTATCATCAATCTAAATTTAGGATATATTCATACGACACTCAATTTGATTTAGACTTGAGCAGTCACACAGGTAAGACACAATTAAAATTGAATCTAGAACAACATTAAAAAGGTGTAAATAGAATAACATACCTATTCAAAATAATCAAGATCAGAATAGTTATAAGAAATACTTGCATTAATTTCTCTTTCGTTACCTCAGACGGTTTTAAGTGTGCGGATGTACGAGTATAAATACCTTTTTTTGTGCGGCAAGCCCCTCGTATAAGACCCCACGGTGGGGAGGTTATGTCGGACTCGAACCGAATAAAAACCGCACGCCGTCTCGGGTACCAATGGCCGGGTAACCAGGTGTAAAGTAAGAAGGAAATACTTAGCAATAAATCAATTAAAAGCTTTGTTGAGTAATAAATTCTAATTATATAAAACTGAAAGAGGTTTAGTCCTACATTTCGTCCAAATAAAAGAATTACCGAAAACAGGTAAAAGGTTTCGTAATAGCACAAACAATATGACTAATAGTTTACATTATCATTATGTAAATAAACATATTAGATTTTCAGGTATTGTTTTGTTTAAATTTTAATACCAAGTAGGTATATCCTTCTTCCTCAAAGGCTGGCAACGTTCATGGGCGGCGAGAGTTACTTTCCATCAGGTGAGCCGTCTGCTCGTTTGTCCGCTCTCTTATAAACAAAAAGTATTAAACTGAGCTTTTGCATCATGTATCGGCACAGACGGGCCTATTCAATCGGAGTGATACCACCGACACACAGAAAAGCGATGCTAAGCAATTCTTCAGTTGCTTTTCACTGAGTGAGTGAGGTTTACCATATGCCTCCCTCCCCGCTCCAAAATAACTCCTGTGGCCTGTGGGGGGGGGGGGGGGGCTGCTCAAAGGGCGACACTAGTGTCTCTTGAGTTGCAGATATCCATAGCTGGTTTGCCACCTATGCTATCAAAAAACCCTTTATTCAACCCTTAAGCAGGTATTTAGTATGAATGAAATTGTTTTGTTAAATGTTTGTATTTCTCATTGCAGTTACGAACCCATTAGCAGCTCGTATTACAGCAGTTTTGTGCGTCGCCTGTTCAACTTTCTGTGCTATCGGTGGTTTAAGAGCAATAGTCGCTCTTGGAATTGTCACAACTTTCCTTGCGCTAGCTGGAACTGCTCTACCTAGTGGTTTAGCACTATTGCCCATGGGATTTAAAAGAATGTGGGATATTGCCGACTTGGGAGGGAGATTAGTGTTATATGAGTAAGTAATACCAATTCTAAGTTACATTAATCGGACATGTATCTTATGTTAAATTACATTTAAAAGTTCAATTGGGATAAAAATAACTAAAACCACGTACCTATTTATTTTGTTTAAAAAAACAAGTTGAATTAAGTGAAAAACCTTAAATATCCTTATCATAATATTATGACTGAAATCATGAACCAGATTCATTTCGCTTCAGTCGGTCTTTTAAACTTAAACTGAGATTTAATATAATACAAAATGATATTGTCTATTATTTCAGTCCAGATCCCGAACTGGCTCACCATACATCCTTCTTTGCAGTAACACTGGCATTAAGCACAAATTGGCTTTGGAAGACAGCTTTAAGCCAGTCAACGCTTCAGAAGCTTCTTGCTGTACCTACGATAAGAGAAGCAAGATTATGTTTGAGTGTGTCGTGTGTTGGAGTGATACTCATGAAGTTGCTCTCATGTTTTCTTGGTTTGGCACTCTATGCTTGGTTCGCTGGCTGTGATCCTTTGCTGACTGGGCAAATTAAAAAACACGAACAAGTACGTTTGCATACTAATAAAGGTATTCTTTAGTAGTACCACAGAATAGATAACAGCAATGGCTTACATTGAGTTATGTAATGTTGTGGACTTATTATACCCATACCGATTGACGTCGAAGTTTTTCAAGGATAGGTATACGATGGGCATATTATTCAAAAGTTTACAAATAATTTCGAGAAAGAAATCTCTGGAAGGTAACAGGTAACAATAAATAAAAAAAAACTATGGTTTTATGACATCAGAATTAGGGTTTCTTTTTATTGAGTTTTATCAAAATCTTAATATTCTCTGTTTGATCTAAAAGATATTTTAGCCTTCTAAACTTTTAATAGACGTGTTTATAAAGTAAACTAGTTTTTGCCCACGACGCCGTTATGTATATGTCTTCTATCGTGATAAAAAATAACCATTGTCCTTCCTCAAGAATTAAACTATCTCTATACCAAAAAACAATGACGGGTCTCCATAAAAAAAAATATTTGGCATCAAATTGCATCGTCTTGTAGTAAAAAAAAAAACACCTTTTTTAGAATCTGTGTAAAACAATTTTAGTTTAGGAAAGGCTAAAAAAAGGTATTAGATTTAGATTTCTTTAATTACGCACTGCATTTTTTTAAATCTGTGAACTCTTTTTAAAAGAGTCCTGTGTGTATGTTTAGCTGCATAATATTTCCTTTATTTTATCAATTTATCTATGGCTATCGTCTTTTCAAGTGGTTTTTTGTATTGTTTTACATAATTACTTGATAATTATAACTAATACTCGTATAATCGGCGATGGCTATCCGACGCCAGTCTCGTCAGACGTTTAGTCTTTATCATAGACAAAACATTATAAACCAGAGACATAATATTTAAACACAGAGCGCAAACGTCTGTTAAGAGTTGTCAAAAAACCTTTGCTTTTTTTTGCAGCTTGCAGTTGCCACTTTATTTTATTTTTTTACTTCCTTTCATTCCACTACAGGATTTTCAAATACGTAAGCAATGCGTTTAATAATGCACCACAAACTACATTCTTTATTGATTCAGTACTTTCAATCATAATCCTATAATCTGATTAAAATATTACTACTATTAAGTGATTACCATGTTACGACACACTACTGGACAGTATTTCCACTACTTGAAAAAAATGGCTGTAAAATGGTACCTAACACTAAACGGATACAGAAAATTAAAATAAGCAAATAAACTTATTATATTTTTCTTTCTTTTTCTGAGGTTTTATTGACTTGAGACGATAGTTTTAAAAAAACGTAGATATTTACTAGAATGAGTTTCCTATGAATGACATTTTTATCAACAAATTATTATCTATAATCAACTACGAATTCGCCATTGTTGATTTCCCATACAAACTTCGAACCTCGCTTTTCACCCCTTTCAAGGATGATTTCTAGGATAAAAACTATCTTATGTCCTTTCCCGGGATTCGAACTATCTCTATACAAAATTTTGTCTAAATTAATACTAAATTAATCACATAATTCGCGAAGAGGTAACAGACACAGAGATATACAGACAGACACAGACATATACAGACACTTTTGCATTTATTATATTAATATGGATGTTTAGATAAAATTTTGTTTGCCAGTTTTAAATATGTACTCATAAACTAAGAGAGTAAATTTCGATAGCCCTAGCACTACATCCCACTATTTCTTTTTATAAATTAGGTATTTATTTTTATGTTTCAGCTTGTGCCACATTTTCTGAACAGCCTGGCTTCAATGTTTCCAGGTATTTGTGGCATCTTTATCATGTCAATATTTAGTGCGACAACTGGGTGAGTATTTCATTTAACATTGTTCTAACGCAATGTAAATAAATAAATCTACAAACTACGTTTGTTTAGTTTTGCTGTAAATAATTTATTTACGACTTGTGGATTAAATTTTTATTAAATTGCAGTAATAAAGTGCAATTGTAACCAACTTGGATGCCTTTACTAACAAAGTATGAATACGTGAATTCCAGATGTATTGCATCACTAATTAATTCGATAGCTGGAGTGCTGTTTGAAGAGTTTATCAGACCTTGGATGCCCCAGAGTGCTAGAGAGTCGGACTGTTGTAAAATTATGAAGGTAATGTTAAGGAATTGCATTTTGATTTAGAATCAGAGAGAAGAATTTTATACGTATGTGCGTAGTATAGCGTAGTGGTTTAAAAACCCCAAACTCTCGTCGACCGCAAATTTTTTGAGGCGCTTAATCGTACGAACAATTACTTAAATTTGGTTCACTGTAAGGTAAGTATTTGCTTCCATAGCGGCCTTTAAGTCACTAACTTCTAAAAATTTTTTTAAAGGTGATTGCTATTTCAGTGTTATGGTTCAATGGTGTCGAAATTTTTATTAGGTAACTTATTAAATTAAGTGCCTAAGAGAATGGTCAAAGTTAACGATATTTAGTTCTAATATCGTAACGACTATAAAACAGAAACAATAATTACATGAAAATTTTATTTCTACTGATTCCTAGAGATCCCCTAAGGGAGATTATAAATTTAGAAGGTTAAGAACGCGATAGGTGGACTAGTTAGTAGCAGTTAGTGTTTATAAGTTCTATGTAAACTGTGTATGCAAATACACATAGTTTATAAACGCTCAAAACGATACAATGCGCCTGGTTGTCCTCCAACTTAGAGAACCTAAAATAGGTATGGTTAGGAAAACAAAATATTAGCCGTCAAACAAAAAGTGTGTCACACATCTGACATTTGCATCTGTGATACGATTCCTATAAAAATGCTGTACAAATTGAGAATAATCTATCGATCTAACTACTTAAGAGAAAATTATTTTCAGTTACTCTGCGTGTTAGTGGGTATATACTGTGGACTGGTGCTGTGGTTCGCTAAAGAATTGGATCGCTTACAGCACGTTGCTTCAGGTGTAACTGGAGTCACAGCTGGTACACTGCTTGGACTATTTACATTGGGCATTGTATTCTCCAGAGCTAATTGTTCTGTAAGTAATTGATTTTTGAAAATAAGTAGTAGGTAAAAACAATGGGTGACCTAACTGGGCTTAATTGTCAAGTTAAATAACATTTGCATTGTAAGAATAACAATCACGTTTACTCAAATAAACTATTGTTTGATTGAGAGTTACATTCATATAGATTATGAAACTTTTAATATTTTCTTTTTAATGTGCCTTTGCCTGTTAATTTCTTTTTATTATAATGTGTAATAGTGACATCTGTTTAATAATTCGAAATCTGTCTGAAAGCGTAGTAGTTACCTGGCATTGGGTGTACTAAGTTCACACATTATCACACAGAGGGCATTAATGGCTAAAAGTTACCGACGTGGAAGAACAGATGTCGCTACTTTCAGTATATATTACAAAAATGTATTTTTGAGTTGAATGTTGGTTTTTTATTTTATTTTGTATTTTTAATTATATATATTTTATGTTTGTAAAACGATATTGTAACTTTTTAGGGTGCTTTAAGTGGGTGTTTACTGAGTCTCATTCTGTGCGGGTGGCTGCTCATTGGCGCAGAAAATGCATTAGCCACAGGAGCGTTGACCTTTCAGGGCAAACCATTGGCAATATCAGGCTGTGGCAAGCCTAATTTCATGCCTGCGTTGGTTAACGTAACAAAAATTCTTCCTAATGCCGCGTGAGTATTATTTGTCTACAAAGATCTTAACAATTTACTAGCGGTGCGGTGATAAATAGGTATTATATAAATATTTGGTTAATTTGTGGTAGATGTGGCTTATTGCTAATAGTTAGGTGATTACAAATAACATAATTAGTGACGAAAATAACAAAATGGCAGCCTAATGACACTACTTTCCAACGCATGAAAATTCTACAATTCACTGTATTTTGTAACATCATTAAAGAAATAATTGTATGTTAAAAACAATAATAATTACAATTTTTTAATTGTCAAAATTACCTTGTCTCTATTTACAAATTAAAAAGAAGGAATGTAAGTGCCTGAGTATATGTTTCTGGAGGATGAGATGCAGGATACATTTTTATTACCTCCTATTAGATCACACGCGGTTAAAGGTGGACGAGTCTAAGTTTTAACCTTTCTTCGTAACTTAGCATACCAACCCTTATTTCTCTTGTATTCCCCTCTTATTAAAACTTTGCCCATATTAGGTACTATCACACGATTCCCTCTCACTTTTATGACTTTCCTTCGCCACCGTTCCTTTTATACAACTAACTTTTATATGAGTATAGTAACTCTATACTCATACAATGATATTTAAATTCATTAATGTTTTTTTTTTATATAGGGGATAAGTACTATACTCATTCTTATCTTAAGAAAAGTTTATACTTTAGCTCATAAGAAATTATAATTTGGAGTGCTATAACTATATGACTAAAAAAAACCAATTAAAGTTTTCTACTTTGGTCCACTGACCGATCAATAAAATGGCTAGGTTAGACCAAAGTTCCAATGTTCATAATGGCCACTCGAGTGAGGTTGACGGCTGCGTCTTTGAACGTCGTCGCCTAAATTAGAGATATGTATGCAGTAGTAGTATGTAATTGAATGAACTAAAAACCATACAGTATGCCATACACACTGTATGGTTTTTAGTTCATTCGATTACTATACGGCACCCCACCGCAAGCCCCGGTCACAGCCAGAGGTTGTCTGCACACCTATAAAAAGGTCAAATTCTAATCCTAACTAACAATAATATAACGTGATTGTGTCGAAAGACGGTGAATGTGAGTTTGTTTTGTTGTTTTGAACGTTTTCACGAATTAACTACGAACAACTTGAATTATTTACTAGGTACTGTACCTACGAGTTTTCTAAGTTTCAAGATTTCAAGGTTTCAACAGAAAAATTAAGCAACATACTGAATAGTGAGCTAAGACCCCTTTTTAAAGAACTGCCAGCATCAATGTCCCAAAACTCTTTGAAATACGGCTGAAAAAAGCGACATGGACACTATCTGACACCACAACGCCCTTAACAGGATGGCTTGTTACGGCTGTAAATCGTAAACGACACTAAGATTTTACTGTACGGCAAAAATATCTGTGAGCCTTCCATTGATAGTTACATTGAAAATGTCAACCTTAATACTTAAGGGTTAAGATGACAATACTATTATTTACTACATGATTTCTGTATTTTTAAAGGTTGTACAAAATGTCCTAAATGAAAACTCCAATACCTATAGGTAATTGAAATTTAATTACCTTCTTCCACATACATTACTTACATATATTATTATGTTCAAAATATTGGATAGGGCAAAATTAAATTGGCGTTCCAATTTAGTCAAACTAATTAAAACGCCCGCTTTTAATATTGTACAATAAGTAAATTGCTTATTGTGATGGTATTTTTGGAAAACTGTGTAACAACAATTTTAGTAGTTTAATGATATGTCTTCAGTTTGGTCAAGTTGTGTTAAGTTAGGTCAGTTTGGTTAGTTATGATTTAGTTTGAAGACTATGTCCTCATAAGAAAACACAAAAACTGTTTATTTTTGTAATTAAATACTCCAAATGCTTATTTAAACAGGGTACAGATAATTATAAAACTTTTTTAAAACGCATTGAAATAATTAGAAATATGTAGCTTGTATACAAAATAATATTTCACTATAATATTATACTCGTTATTAGTCTGACACTGACACAATGCAGATGAGCGAAGTCGACGCTAGTCAATCCCCCCTTTTTTTTCTGTGCGGAAATCCCCTCGGATACCACTTCCCGGTGGCAATATCGGACTCGAACGCTAGTCAATCCCCTGATTTTAAATATAATTTCTCTCAACTCTTACTTTAAAAGCTCCTTATTTTTTTTGGTCAATATGATTATTTAGATCTGTTTTGTATTTTGTTTCAGAAATCAGTTACCAACGAAACGTCTGCAATCTTTATTCCGGATTTCTTTCACATACTGTCCATTTGCAGGGGCCGTTTCAGTACTAATCATAGGCGTTCTTATGAGTTACCTTACAGGAAAATCGAAATCAGACTCCATGAACCCTGATGTATTTTGCCCTCTGACTCAAAGTATTCTGCACAAATCTCAGTTGCGGAGTCCAACGGCCTCTTTCGAAGTAAGACCACCGAATACTCCAGAGGTCTACCTCGCTTTGGATGAAGCATTGAAACATTTAAAAGAAATTATAGATCGATGAATAAACGAAAAAATAGATTTTTAGTATTATTTAAAAATTCGACAATGCTGAATATTTTCATATAGCCTTACCAAATCTTCTTAAATATTTGCCTTGTTATTGTTATCAGACTGTTAAATGGAGTACATTTTGTTCGTAATGTATCGAATCGTACGAATCTTAACAATACACTTTTCGGCAGTGGTCAAATAAACATGGCAATAGGACTATAGATGCGAAATCTTCGCACTTGCTAATGAATTTTTTTACAACTAAATTGTTTAATTTATTTTATCGATGTGCACACCTAGGCACATAGATCTCTGTTCTGTGTGAACACCCAAGTTTTTAATGCAGATCATTTATTGACTACGTTTAGTTTTACTAACGCTAACACTAACATCAAATCTGTCAGTTGTCTTGCCTATTAAACCAAACTAAATTTCATGTATCCCTTTTTTTAACCCTCTCGCGTTGGCTCAACTTCATTAACCACGGCCCCCACCGAACTAACACCCCGGAACTACCAACAGGCCCATCCAGGCCCACCCCAGTGACCCGCCTGTAGTGGCAGGCAGCGCAAAACACCATTTAAACAGGTCGTGGCCTGGAGAAGTCACCCCAGCTGGGGTCTACGAGAAGAACCACGGACAAAAAAGACTTCAGAAAAGCCGTACTCAATTAAAGATACCGCCAGTGTTTGGCCATTATTAGCCGACACGTATAAAAATCATTAGAGAATACCGGAGGGGGCTACCGTTTATAGCAGAACTTTTTATGTCATAATGTTATTTTGCATAACAACGGATAGCATAAACTTCGTTTCGCTGAAACTCGTTTGACAGACACTTATTTATCATATATTCAAAACTCATTATCATCTTTAGGCACAAACTTAATATCCATAATAATTAAAATGTAGAACCATCATAGCGCCGAAAGTTCGTAGTCAGAATAGTCCGTTAGAAGGTAGAACTATCATATCTCAGGAAGTCTACAGTGCGAATCATTTTTTGGCATAGGTACATTTCATATCTATAATAATTGAAAGGCTATCTATAAGTACAGCGGTTTTTCTTGTAGACCCGAGCGAGCCCCGCTGGCGACCAGCTTACTGGTTATGCCCGGGTAGTGTGACCCCTGTGCTTGGCGAGGTCGGGCTCCGATGGATGGGGACCCCAAGGACCGCCCGTCAGCCAGCATCAGGTGGGTGTTGAGGATAGTCCGGTAGGGGTTGCCACGAGGTTTCGCGGCAAGCCATGTCTGTCTGGCGGTCGGCGATGGTAGGGCGTGAGCTCCCGCAGGTGGTGGGCTTGCGAGCCGTTGGCACGTACAAACAGGTTTATGCTCAGGCGTCTCACGAATACATCCACGCTTTCCAAGCGGAGATCTCGAGGTTCATAGGCGAGGGTACGCAATGCAAGTGACTGCTGCACACGCAGTCGGCGACGGTTCGTCTCGGATACGATCGTGAACCAGGCCAGGGTACCATACGAGTAGGTGAGTCGGGTGCGAATGTACGCCTTGTACACACCGAGTTTCGCACGGAGCGGCAATCGGGACGATAGTACGGGCCACAGAAATGGGTGCGCGGCTCGAAACTAGGCAACGACATTACTGACGTGGGGCTTCATGACGAGGGTACGGTCGATGATCACGCGGAGGTATTTCACCGTCACGGACCTCTCGATATTCTGCCCCATGAGCTTCAATTGTGATAGGGCTACGCTTCCCATGGAGATCTAAAAGCTATCTATCCATAATTTTTTATATCTCATAATAATACTAAAGCCAGCAAACTCCAGCGGTCCCACGCGAGCTTATCATCGCAGATGAATTCAACGCTCCTCAGTTCAAACCACCTCAGCTCGCGGGCCGCCTCGCCCATCCACGCCTACGCGGGCTAAAATTAAACTATAGGAGTAGGGCAGACAAGACTCAGTGGAGTCGGTTTAGCAGCGATTCGTTTCTGTCACAAAATTTTAAGAAAATTATTATTATATTATTATTAATTTAAGGTTAAAAAAGCTATTTTATGGCAACATGCCTGAGAATTTTTTTCCAAATGAAATTGTACCAAATAATCGTCGCCTAAATAAACGCTATGCTAAATAAGATTATGCCATCTTAAAAGTATGCCATTGTAAATTCGGACATATAAATATTCGGTCAAATAGTAATTATAATCATTAAAAATTATGCCTTAAAAATATTCGTTTAAAGAAGATTCTGCCTAGTGTGTTATGCGAAATAAATTTCGGAGCATCAAGATTCTGTCAGATAGAGGGAACCCTGTGGATGAAGGATATCTGTGCCTCGGCGTCCAGACCAGACATATTTCTTTATGCAATGTCAATTAAGTGTGTAGTACTAGTAGAATTCAAGGTGCTGTGGTAAACGAACATCCCCAAAGACCACGCTTTAAAAAGAAACAAGTACTTGACTTAACCCACGAAATAACTAAAAATGGTTATGTCGTTGCGTTGTATGCCGTGGTAGTCGTTGTATGCCGTTGTAGTCCGTGTGGTGATGGGAGTCCGTGTGATGACGGATTAAGAATACAGAATTTCACCACCTATATTCATCCCGTGGGTGTCGTAAGAGCCGACTAAGGGAGCAAACTACGCAGGACAATAGCACTGCAAAGAGAAGGAAAACTTGAAACAAACCCCATGTCAACCCGTTTGGCCAGCGTGGTAAAGTAGGCAAAAACCTTCTTTCTAAGGAGAAGGCAATGTCCAGCAGTGGACTGTTATAGGCTGTTGACGATGATGATGATGATGATGGTGTATGCCGTGGAAGTGGTTGGGAGGGGTATAACAGCTAAATCCCTATATAAACTGCTTAAAGACCTTGGATTGCCAAAAGCTTCAGTAAGCTCTTTCCTAGAACTAATATCCAGAGCATAGCTAGGCTCGTATCAGATGTAGTTAGGTAGAGAGGGTAACACAGGAGGTGAGCTCTGACGCGTCGCAAGAAGTACTCCCTAAACCTATTCCTGGGTCGTAATTCCCAGGCGCTGTCGAAGAAAAGGAAGAAACTAATTTGATAATGCAAAAAGAGTGGATCACCATCAGCATAGACGAGGAGCTTAAGCAGAAGTTCAACCAAGGAGTTCTGGTTGCAGCGCAACATTGAAGTACATAATCCTGCATTGTGTAACATTGTTGAAAAATACCTTATCACTTTACCATCGTCATACCTAGTCGAAAAAGGCTTCAGTGTGGCTACAAACATTTTGACATAACAAAGAAACCTTTTGAAATTCAACCAACACCACGATTGAAGGCTGCAGCTCACCAATATTGAACCAGAGTGAGCTAGATTGGTACAAAGTCACTAGGTTCATCAATCACTTGAATTTTTTATTGTTTTGTCTTTAAAATGCGATATTTATGTCTAAAAAAGAATTAGGTACTTAAGTATTTTTATGTAAGTTGTATTAATAATTATTAATTCCACTTGATATTTAATGAATTTTATGTCTACTTATTTTGTTAAATTTTGAAAAGTAAATGATGCCAAATTTACTCACTTAATCAACCCTTAATTTTTTAATTGGTAAGTATTCTGTATCAAAAGGAATAAAAATTGTTTAATTTTTTAAGTGATTTGGCCATGGGGTCTGAGCTATCCATCTATTTTGGAAAAGGGGTCTCGTGCCCAAAATAGTTTGGGAACCCCTGGCCTAGAACAATTGGGTCGTTAGTGTCATGCGACATGTGTAGGTTCTAAATTACTGTGACTAAAACAATAATGGAATTTTACCACCGTATTTTAACATTTAATGGTCACTTAAGCTTTTAATACCATGTATTTTCTTTAGAATATCTTTACAAAGATTCACAGTCGTCATACATAGTGTTCAGTAATAGTCTATTTAAAACACGACTTCTCATACATGTTACATTTTAACGAAGTAATAATGCTGGTTTAAATGCCAGTAAAGCATACGATGATAAAATAAGATGAAAAATATCAACATCATTTAATTTTAACAGAAGTTATGAAGTTATTAAAGTGTCTGAAAATACCTTTTCCCAAAAGTAGTTTTGTAATAAGTTATACGAGTATACTACATATTATATTGGTTTTGTAAAAAGGCATTTTCAGACACTTTTTTACGTTTATAGCTTCTGTCAAAATTTAATGAATACCAATTTAATGTCACGTACCGTACATCACCCACGTACTGTGCCTTCAATGAATCCGAATGAAATAATTTAAAGATGTTGGTGGATGATGAACTCTGCTCGGATAGATTTTATTCAACAGAAATATATAAAATTGTACGTACAATTTTTTAGGTTTTCGATACTGGTAAATTTGTAAGTTGTATTCTTCCTTAAACAGAAACTTGCAGATTTGTGATTTTTGAAATACAATTACAATTTAGTGGAACTGTTTTATTCAAAACGTCTAAAATGGGTTAAATTATTCTACTATTTTTAAACGGTGTACGCCTACATTTATTATGTAAGATTTTATTAGCAGTTAAAAAAACGACGTTTTTTTTTGTAGTGCCGAAAAAAATTGTAGTTTCGTTGTTTCCTTTTAACTACTAATAAAATATTCTGCTAATAAATATTTTTTTTCATTTATTTAACATACGATGTAGGTAAATAACACTTTTGGTTTTTGGAATTGTAAAACCACTAAGGTTTATAGTAAGTACCGTTAGTTCATTTGCAGAAAGTAGTTTGAGTGATACATTTCGATATTTTATACAAAAGACGTTCATAAAGAAAAACATTCGGGGCAAAAAATTAAAAGTAATAGTAGCTAAGATAGCATACGAGAGTAGACAAATACGTTTACCTATGGTTGTGTAGTTCATTTATAAAATAAGAGCTGAGTTTATTTTTAATATTATTCGTTTAGAGGTTGGTACGTAAGTTAGTGGGTAGTTTTTTGATCAAACGAGTAAGGAGGTAGGCTGCCGTTTTTACGCCATACGTATTGTTAGCGCGCTTTGTGCATAACTGGTTTCGGGCGAGGGTACGAGTGTACGTACGTACGTA